GCAACAGCTGCAACATTAATTCCCATACTAACAACCAAAGAAAGCATTTATTTGTATATATAAATGTAACTATAAGGAATCACTGTCTAGTTAGTTTGTTGGGTATGCCAGGGACATTAACGGCAGTTGGAAACGTGGGATAATTTTCTGTCCATAAGGAGTCTCGAAGTGGGAACATATGAAGTCGATCTAATAAAAAAAAATCTTAACAAAGTCAAATCTTTATAGTTTGTTTGACGATTTCTATAAATCTTTTCTTCTGTTAATAACATTATTCTTCAAAAACACCATTTTTTTTCGAAAAAATAATTATTTAATACAATTTCCAAAGCTTGATTTCTATTCTGTTAATCAATATAAAGGTTATTCAAGGAAGAATTTACAATGTTAAACACCAAAATGACACGAACAAACTCAATGGCCTTGTCAAATAATTCATCTTCTCTAATAGTTATTGCTGATATTAAACACCTTCTATATTAGAGAATCAAAATCCCTCTCACTATTATTATTAAAGGACACAATGAAAGGTCCATAACTACATGTATCTTAATATGGAAGAATTTATGATAGATTGTTCAATTAAAATTGTAAGTAAAGCGTCAACTTTTAATAAGTGTTGTGTTTTTCACTGCACGTCACTTTCATTTTCCTTCTTGAAAAGACCTAAGTATGCTTCTTCAAGTAACAAAGGTTTTCTTTCTCCTGGAATTAGTAATTACATGCAGTGGGACATGTAACCAACCTTGTAGTGTAAGAGGTTGGGGTCCATGGACAAGTTGTTCTGTAAATGGAACTCAATCTAGAGAAAAATCATACTGTTGTCCTCAGGGATTAAAAAATATTAACGATTGTCTAAAAAATTGTTCAATTAAACCCGAAACTCCGGTATCTCAGAAGTGTGTTCTTCTAAAGTCATCAACGGTTACTCATGGAATAATTAATTCAACACCAGGGCTTCTTAGTAAGTACATGTAGGAATCTTTTTGTTGTTCTCAAACTTGTGTAAGTGGTAAATATCTTTGGTCCTAGAGAATGCACTGAATATGCATGATATATTTTTTTTTTTTTTTTATTAATTTCCAATTTAGGACCTATTTAGATTTTTTTAAGTCAGGCTGATCTTTTTTTCATCATGTGTAAAGACAAAATAAAAATTAAGTCATTAGGAAGTAGAAAATGCTCAGGGAGGGAGTACCCTATAAACACACGTTTTTTGCCAATTTGTATGCAATAAATATTCAAATATACGTAAACTTTGAAGTCCATATTCATGTTTACATTGCATACGTACATGCATAATAATTACTTTGTAAAGAATTTAAAAAGTTAGAGCTTTCGTGAAAGAAAACTTCACACAGATAAAGGAAGAATACGCTATCAAAAGAAATAAACTATTAAGAATGGCTTTTCAGAAAGCCTGAAATGTCATCACTGGTTCCAATACTGTCATAGACTGAAAACTGGAACATCAGTCACTCCTTTATCATACACTTCTGCTGCCCGTGCAGTTTTAAGTTTTGATGCTACATGTAAATACAACTGTTACATGAAAACACTACAAGAATATAGGCTGTGCATGGAGAATGAAATGCCAACGAAAATATTTATTTGAATCCACATTATCTACTAGGATAACATTTTTTTAAACTTCTTTACTAATCTTCAATTTAAAACAAAGTGAAAAATGAACATGCAACGGGTACATTTTTAAAAAAAAATTAATTAATGTTCACATACCGTTTAAAATAAGTAAATAATAATATTTAAACACGTAATTAAATAAAAATTATTATTCGAAAGTTATCTGAAAAGGAATCCAAAGATTCCGATCTAGAATTTTTAGGCTGTTTTTTCAGGAAGTAAAGAACTATTATGATTTTGGCATTATAAAGGGTATAAGGAGAGTTCATTCCACTTTATCCTTAATTTTTGAAAACAAATACATTGAAAAGGTATTTAAAATCTTTGATATCTTATATTCAGAGAGTCTATGTTTGCTACTGATAAGGTTTTGTGTTTTTGCAAAACATGAAAAGGAGAGGACAAATATTCATGATGTATCTTCCGTACAGGAAAATCATACGGAGAAATGTGCAGTTTATTCGTGAGATTGACAAAACATGAGCTCGAAATTCCATTTCTTTTAGTTTTTATTACATTTTTTAAAATTTAAAAAAAAAAAGATAAATACGCCAATTTTGTGACGGTAGCCTAGTGGGAAGGCGTTTGCTTCTTGTGTGACTTGTGACACCAAGCGTACTTGCACATGAAAATATATATATCTTATAACTTGTTCGTACACGTTAAAGTTAGCTGCAAAGCAACATTTTATAAATTATGAGACTTATCTCCTTCGTGAAATTGAATATTATGCATTTATCGACTGAGTTCGAGGGCAATATGCGTTTTGTCGGACCCAAGAACCAATCTATTTGCCTGAGGCCGTTAGGCTGAAGGCAAACAGTTTGGTTCGAGGGGTTGACAAAACGCATTTTGCCCGAGATCACAGTCAATAAATGTTTTGCTAGACTTTTTTTTTTTTAATCTTTGATATACATGCATCTTGTGCTGGCTCTGGTGATGTTAATTTCCTTTGCAACATTAAATTAGTTCAATTCCGTAACTCTCGAATATCAACGATCCCGCCCACGGTGTGACGTAAGCAGACTATCTCATTAACAGATCCAATATCTCACTCCGCGGTCAAGCATTGATTTTTTTATGACCGCTCAATAAAACATTGGAGATGTTACACTTTTTTTGTGTATGGATTTATATGGAAACACATTTTTAAAAGTATAACAATATACCGAACACCATGATTTATTTTTCAAAATTATCCTTTTTGTAGATAGTACAGTATTAATATTCGTACCCTATCATAAATGTGTTGAAGAAAATGTTTGTTACACTCAATTTTTTTTTTATTTAAGTGGTGTATTAATTTCACATTAATCTTCATACTAAGGAAGTACGAACACGCCAAACGAAAGATAAATATGTTTTTATTCCATATTTAGTAAATTTGATATCTATTTCAGTTCACTCTCCTTGGACACGACATTAAAATCTTATGAAGTGCTCTTGACTCCTATAAGTACATCATTTGTCATTCAAGAAACATCAGTTTTACTTGTCTTTTGTTTGTTAAATGTTTTCGTGTCTATAAATCTTATGATTCCCCCGTGTATTCTTCAGTCATGCAGAATGGTAGCTGTTCATTTTGTTGTGGTCATAACATGCTTAGTCTTCCAGCTTCCCTTGTATGCAAAATGTGCCCTGGATTGCACATACCACAATGTATCGTATTCGGTTTGTGACTTGATGTTTTGGACACCGTGGACTATATGCAATGGTGTTAATTGTCCTATTGGCCAGAGACAACGATTTAAAAGTATTTGTTGTGTGCGTATATCAAAGAATGAAACAAAACAAGTGATTAAACAAAGGTGTATGAAGACTTGTCATTTAACTGAAAATGATTTTAAGGACCATGCTCCGTATGTTCCACAAAAGGGTATGTGTTTTGAGATATACATCTAGAATACTAGTATATAGAAATACTGGTATTCAATTTGATTTTAGAAACATGAATTTTTTGTTCCCTTCCTCACATCAGCTTAGGTCACGGTCAAAACATGTAACAATTTTCAAAAAGCCTCTTTATTTCTGAACATCTGTCAGGGGAAAAAAAGTTTCTTTTGTTATTATAAGCAATGAAAACTCTATCAAATTTTTTTTTTTTCTAAAAATATTTCTTTGGTGATAAACTATACTATCGGGATGGGGTTCGGTAAAACATATTAAAATTTATTATATATCTTTCATAATCTGTTTTAGAATTGGACATCTAGAGGAAGATTGCATGATCCTAATGACCAATAAGCATTATTATGGCCATTTTTTTTTTTTGTTTTTTTTTTGTAAAAGCCCATACATAACCCTTCTCAACAAAAATATACCTTTGGGCATATATTTCTAACAATGTCAAGATCACTAGGAAAGGAGCATCACAAGTTTTTAACAGAGAACCTTGAGAAGTTCGAGACAAATAGAAGGCAAGATGTATAGAATAAGTGTTCTAAGATAGGTATATCGTAATACTCGGGTGACAGTTTTGTCGAACATTTGGACGGTTTATTACTAATAGAAAAAGCAAGAAAATTACATAATTTCCTAACAAATGATTTTTCATACCTGTCTCGCTTGTCTAGCGTATTTGAAGAACAATCAATGATTGTCAATTGTGTTTCACCTGAAATTTATCTTCTGAGGTGGATTAAGTAATATCTATATTTCTTAAAATTATGATCAACATCATAAAACTTCATACGGTCCGAGATATTTTATATTTGTCAACTATTTTATCAAACCTCTATTTGCTTGTTTGTTTCTTTAAACATTATACAATGTAAAAGGCATTTTATAAAGTAATTAACCAACCAATTAGAATGTTATACGAATGGCTACATTTTGCAGTATGGTCCACTATTACTCTTTTAATTATTACAAAAAAATCTGATTCTCAAATCCTCACATTATCTAGTGATTGCTAATCAAGTACCTTAAGAGAAATTTTAAAATAGAGTTTTATCTAAATTGATTTTTTTAGAAAGATAGTTTAAATTTAATTTCTTTAATATGGAAGTAAATCTCTATGTTTATTCCAAACCGATACTTTTTAAAGCAAATAATCCAGTGTCATCTTCTGTGTATTTTTCGTGTAACATGCTTTTCTATTTAATACGATTTTCACTTCATTTCACTTGGTGAGTGCATTTGAGGAAAATATCTTTAAAATGGAGCTGCGTTCCTTTGGTTATATTGGTTTTGCTCTGTTCCTGGGTTCAGAAGTCCAAACACTTAAAGGGACTTGTAATATAAACGGATCGACTTACAACTCTTGCGATGTAGTAGGGTGGACACAATGGACGACATGCTCATCTTCGTGTCATGGACGTGGACTAGTGCGTAACATTATTGTCTGTTGTCCGCCCTCAATAGGAAATATAACAAATGTGACAAAAAAGCAGTGTTTTTCAAACTGCAATATATCGAGAACTGTCATAGCTGGTAAGGATTCTTTGCGTTTTCCTGATTAATTTCTACATTCAACATGTTTTGTTGTTTTTTATTTTAGTTTTGCTCAGTCAAAAATTTCATATACGCCAGTTGCATATTCTATAACATTTGTATGCCTTCTTTGTAATAATTGGTCCTTCAGATTTTAAATTATAGAAATTTCAAAACTCAACAAGCGTGATTGAAGGAGGGATTTCAAATGGCATAGGAGTAAGAGAACCTTTTCAATGACTTAGAATTGAAAACATAATTTTCAAGTCAGGAGAAGAATTGAAAACATAATCTTTAAGTCAGAAGATTTAACCTAAATCATTACTAGTGCAGTCATTGCTCGAATGATACTGTTTGTTTAAACAATGTAACATATTTACACAAAAAGACCCAACACCAAGCAAAAATCACCTGTACAGTTTAGATACTTTTTTATGTGATACCCTTTTCTGTAAGTTTGTTTAGATAATCATCCTCCAATAGGAATATTAAACGTTTTCCGGCTCCATTACACACATGGCTCCAGCCGTCACAGCAAAAAAGGTTACAAAGTTTCTCAGATATCATTTGTGGTTTCACAAACATTATTATTTCGGTTAATTTGGCTTCAAAACAATGAATATATTTTTTTAAAAAATATTGTGACAATATGAATTTCTTTGACACTGGACACAGATTATTATGGTAATTTTTTTTTTGAAATTTATGTGTTTGATGGAATGGTTAAAAAAGCAACCTTAAATAATTGAAGTTTTCTTACTTCTGCAACCAGTACAGTTATTATTTTATATTGATCTATATGGAAATAAATAGATCATTAATAAATGACCATTTTCTCACCGAGAAGTGTTTAAAAGAAATATTTTTACTGCGAAGCACAACGTTTTATTTCAGTGTTATATTTATTTTCAATTAATCTTCAAGCTAAGAGAATGAAACAGGCCAAATGAAGACAAATGAACATTTATCTTATCTTTGGTAAATAAAACACAAATTCCAATCTACTCTAATTCAATATGGTATTAAATGAAGAGCTCTCTTCTTCATGGAGTAGATCATTTGTCTTTAAAACCAGTCCGGTTTACTTGCCCAAATTACGTAAATTGATTTCTTATTCATACATGGGGATAGCTGTCAATGTGGCAACAATCCGGGTTTTCTCTTGTGTGGACCGTTTTGGTATTCTCACATAAATTATAAAAAAAAAACTTTCTAATCTGAAAACTAGTAGGTGACAACCGAACAATATCAATGTATCCTATGAACATATTTTGCAAAAAAATGACTAAGTTCAACAACTGGTATTTTCTGTGTAAATGATCAAATATCAAGACCCAAGTTTCATACACACCTTTAATATATGTACTGGTACAACTGATCTGCAAAATAAAAACTTATCTTGAAATCTGTAGAAGGATTTATCCGGACAAATGATGTACGCTTTAAGCAAAATTTTGCAGAAAAATGGCTATAACTTGGTATTCTTCTTATAAAGTATCAAAAGTCAAACTCTAAACTGCACATCTATATGCACATATCCAATATACATGTACAATTGATCTGTAAAATTAGAACTTCCTTTCTTGAAAACAGCAGAAGGAGTTTTGGCAGCTGCCCGCCCGCCATTTCCACCTTTTCAATAGCCGGAATTTTCAAACGAAAAATCTGGTTAAAAACAGAAGATTTCAGAAACATAAAAAAATGTTCTCAGGTTATGTAGCACATAAAATATGCTCAAATAGATCTGATCATACGATGATTTTTAACTTCCCTTGTTTACAAAATTACGTACATTATACTGACTACATGTTTTAAGCCAATATAAAATTATATAATTTGCAACTGAGTTCCTTGCCCTATTTGCAAGATACAATGAAGGAGTATTTTTGTGATTGTGGGTCAAAGTACGAAAACAAATAAAGCTAAGGTATATACACGCATGCCATTTCACCAGGTGATTTCAAGTACTATGTACTATATGTTCTAACACTATAATTATATGTAAAGTCATGTCAGTATACTGATTATCTTTTGAGATCAAGGAATGATTTTATTTCACATAAAATGGACGCACTTAGAATAAATCTTTAAATTTTAAAGTGTTTTCTAATATCATATTAAAAAAAAAACAATGTGCGTCTATCGTTTGCTCTGTGTTTCAACAAAATAACTAACTGACAATATATATATATATATATATATATATATATATATATATATATATATATATATATATATATATATATATATATATATATATATATTGAGTTTGATAAATCATATTATTATATGATTGAATAATTTCCCTCTTTCTGATTGGCTGAGATCCAACAATGTTAGAAAAATACTACGTTATATTGACCTACACGTGACCTTCCAGGTCAATATAAGGAATTATTGCAGGTCAATATAATGAATCACGTGACCTTCCAGGTCAATATAAGGAATTATTGAAGGTCAATATAATGAATTATTCCTCTTCCATTTTTTCATGTTACAATGTGTTCTTGTTGAAATTTCTCGTTAAAACTTTCAATTAAAGCAAAAAAAAAAAAAAAAAAAAAAAAAAAAAAAAAAAAACCAGTCTTGTAGGAGTTTGCTATCATTTAATCATATAATAAAACAGTTATTGCTGTTTTTTGAGGTCAATACGATGATTTAGACACCTTCGAAGTACAATATTCACCTCGCCCTTCGGGCTCGGTGAATATTGTACTCCTCAGGTGTCTAAATCATCGTATTGACCTCAAAAACCAGCAATAATTGTATAATGTATGCACCTTGTATCTTTTGAATGTGATATTGAAATTACAATATAGTTAGGAATATAATCATGTTAAAAAAAAATCTTTATTCTTCTGATAAGAATTAGACGAGTATCATTCATGCAATTTAAGTTCAAAGTATAAACATTTGTCAAAGTTAATTAAAATTGAACTGTCAGTTGTAAATTTAGGTAGTTATTTTTTCAGAATACTGTAATCGTTCAGAATGGGCTTTTTGTTTAAGAGTAAGGATTAAAACTGTCAGTCTCAAACAAAAGAGAAGTATCAAGAGCAATGCTTTTTCGCTGCATGTTTCTGTTTGCTTTCATATATTCTGGTAATGCCTGTAATATTAAAGAGGACGAGTGTAAAATATTGTCTTGGACCGAGTGGACTTACTGCGATACTGGCTTTAGTTGTGTCAAAGGGAGTAAAATAAGACAAGCAGAAATATGTTGTCCATCCTCTGGTATTGCTAATATAACACTGAAGGCTTGTAAACAACATTGCAATTTGACAGACGCTGACATAATACTGCAAGGTTTGATTTTCTAGTGGAATGATTACTGTGTCAAAAATAACTTATCAAAAACTTATTTAGATATTTTTTAAATCCTGAATAAATTAAATTTTGGTGTGATGTGGAGATTTTACAAAAAATTTTGAGATGAAAGGTAATTAGTACACGAATTTATCTTTTCTTTTCAGCCAAAATTATAGTGATTCTGTAGAAATTCTTTAATTTTAACGAAAAGATTTTCGTTTTTCATTAAAACAAAGGATGTAAAATGTCATAATAAAAATTGTCCGGCTTTATCAAAGGATGAAGTCCTCCGAGATGTAGTTTAATTCATGAAAAAAAAAAACACAAAACAATTAAAAGACGGGGTATTCTTCGTAATAGTTTGACACGGATATCTTTCCTGGAGAGAATAAGAAAAAAAAAGTCACATTCAATAAAATCAAAGAATTTGAAAGTCTAATTGTTTAGAATAATTTTGTCGATGTTTTAACCCCTTTTTAACAGCTTATGGTAATGCGATCTACATTTTGTATATGACAGCAGAACTCTATTTACGTATTGCTATACTTATTCAAAAGATGAATATTTATCTCTAGATAACCTGGATTATTTAATCTTGCACACGTATATATCTTTGAGAGAATAACTGTCGAAGGAGGATCAAACATTTGATAAGAGGATCAAGATGAACATTTGCTTTTGCACGAACTCCTTTTAGACGAAGTTTTTCTTGTAATTTTAGAAATCAATTTGAAATGTAAACTTACATTATATTTATTTGTTTTAGTGTATTTGCTTTTTAACTGCAGAACTGTAGCTCTCTGGTTGAGAAAATTTGGACAGACAAATCAGAGAGCTTCAGATCCAAGCACTGTAAAAACCTATTTACGGCGCCGTTTTTGTGTCGCTCACTTCGTGTATTTCTTGTATTATATGGGTCTCCCGCTTAAAGCATGGTATCCGCTAGTTAGCCATTTATTTGACTCCTATTCCTGAGACTTTATTTACCTTTCAGCGGTTCCAGACAATTCTATATTGTGTTCGAATGTCAGGTTTAAACAAATTCGGATTCCGACGTCTATGTTGGTGTCATGCGTAAAAACTTCTGTCAAAGAGCACACACATGCCAAAAAAATCTGAATATTTGAGGGGGGGGGGGGGTCAGATATCATCTTTAAAAGAAGACAATATGTTTCATTAAAAATAAAACAGAAATTAGATGTATTAAATTCGGACGTGTTATTTTATCATATGCATGACTCAACAAGGAATGCGAATTTTTTAAACTGACATTCAAAGGCCACATAGGGTTGTTTGGAGCTGTTGAAATGTTAATAAAGTAACAACATTAGGAGTAAAATACATGGTTATTAAAGGATAAAATAACGCATGTAATAGAGGAAATAGTTCACAAAGCAAGCGACAAAAAAAAAAGCGTCGTCGTAAATCTACAATGCTTGGACCAGTACCTCTCCGGTATGTCTGTGTTAACTTTCTCAATCTTAGAGGTACACTTCTGCAGCTATTTGCTTTTTTTTATTCTCTCGTTTTATCCTGTACACCATTTTTGGTGAAGATATTACAACTTGTTTTCTTATAGACGTGTTTTAAAGTTTCAAATTGTAAACTTTGAAATATTCTTGCAAACATCTTTTTAACTGTCCTTTTATCCATTAAGGTTAACAAAAGCATGATTAATGTGTCAATAAAAACAAAATTATTATAATTTCTACAGGCTTACGAATATTATTGATATGCTATATATTGTGAGGAATTCTTTATTACTGTGAGACAAAATGAAAGTATCCGAATTTCTGGACTTCGAAGCATTATAAATATTGGCATATTCATGAAAATATGAGATTTGAGTTAAACCTGAAATCTTCAATCATCCAATGCAATCTTGCTGTAACAAGGATTGAGTAACAATCACCAGTGGTGAATCGTCTCTTAATTCCTGGTATATATTAAAGGTCACGAAATTATTTTTTTTTCTCATTATTTTTTAGCAAATGGTCCATCACATTTATCTGGGAACAACACAGCTGTGATACAAGCAAAGAATGGACCAGATGGTATGTTCATGTACAAGGAATAAAAGTTAAAAGATAACTTTGGCTATTTTCAATCATTACAATCTTCAAACAAAAAATTTATTCTTTCCATTCATGTTATGATATATTCTACTTCGGTGACTTCAGCAAATGTAAATTTTAGGCGGTGTAATTGCTGGTGCAGTTGTGGGAGTTCTTGCCCTTGCTGGTCTCTCGGGACTCCTTTTGTTTTTCCTTTATCGGCGATGGAAGAAAAAGAAAGAAGAATCGAAAGTTGAACCAGAAGACAAAGGGGATCCAAATTCCACGACAGTAAACCCAACCCAACAGAAAAGCGCCCCGGTGCCAGCCTAGACCAGCAACAGTTGTTGCAGATAAAAAGTAGACAAAATAGAACATAATGACATCGTATTTCTAACAATACATATATATTGTTTGATTTTTGATAATTGATTTTGTTGAATACATGAACATTTTCTGTGATAGCTATAGTGTCTTTCAAAAGTCTTAAAATGTTTGTTCTGATTGTTTTTATTCTAATATTATATATATATATATTAAGTAATTATAATTTGCATTAAATCTAAATTTTAGAATTAAAACAGTTTTACAACTTCAGATCTTTCATTCTTTACTTGGAGTTTACTTTTGAAAATTATATGTGAGGATCGCAGAAAACGGACTTAAAATTTACTTGATTTGCAGATAAGATCAATCAAACGTATATGACAAACTGCATATTAAAACATTTGTGTTTTACAATTTTTCTGCTGGATAATTAAAAGAATATGTCGGGAAAAAATTAATTTATGAATGAGAACTACAAAGAACGCCATTCAGACAGGAATTTGGAAACTTGATCTTTTTTCCAGATTTTTAATAGATATATAATCAATTTTGTTTTCATTAAAGTATGTTTAGCGGTTTGAGTATTTTATTGATTCCACTATGACCATCTTTAAATAATATGTTTGTTTGCCTTCTCCCGACTGATTGACTAAAAACGATCAGACTCAAACCCTTTTTTAACTCCCAGGAAACAAGAATTTATTTTTATTCATTCCAAAATTTCCTCGTCCCATTAAGAACCAAGTTAACTTTACATTCGTAATAATCTGAGAATTAAAAAAAATACCCCTACCTACCTACCCAATTTTTTTTAATCCTGAGTCGGGGGAGGGCAAGCAAACATTTTTTAAAGATGACCTAATAACGCTTTGCTCCTCCTTTTTTCCACACGCCTGAACACTTCTCTTTGTCCAACGAATCTACAATAACGTATGAGAGTTTTTATGAATGGATAACATTTTGAGAAGCTTTTTATAATTTTGTTCGTAGGAAAAGCAGATTTTTATTTATTTTATTTTTTACAGATTTGTTATTTATTTACTACTTTCTTTGCATCATCTTTTGCAAAATTTTTAATGGAATGTACTTTCTGAACACGATAAGGAATAACATTACGTCAAGCTGATTTGTCTTTTCTGTAATTGACACAAGGAAGAAGAAGATATAGTAAGCAATTTAGTTAATATGAACAACTTATCAATAAAATAGCAAACACTGAAGTGTATATCTGTGTATTGCTATCTGATATATATATATATATATATATATATATATATATATATATATATATATATATATATATATATATATATTTCTTTTAAGTTGACAAGTATTTAGGTTGTTAAAATCGCAAATAAGAAATTAAATCCCTTGTGTAAACATAAACTTTTTAGATCTGGTTATTGTTATGAATACAGAACTTGATACATAGCCTTTTGTCGAAAACTACAAATTATTAATTGCTGCATAGGATTATGGTTTATGAAAAATTTCATCGTTCACACAGTTTCATCTCACGAACTTGACCGGCAGAAATCTTTTTTATAAACTTTGTTTATATGAGTGTATTCAATCCAAATTCAGTATTGCATACTCTATACTCAATGTCCTATCACTCAAAGAAAAACCATGAAAAATGTTGGTATCTTGTCAATTGCCTGTTTCATTGCGTTTATGTCTTTTATTATTTTGCCGAATGAAGCTGACAAAAGTGGCATTTGTATTTACAAAAACAAAACTTTCTCTGAATGTGATCTGATGTTCTACACGAACTGGACACTCTGTGATGGTAGAAAATGTACTGTAGGGAAGCAAAAACGACTGAAAGGAATTTGTTGTATAAATCGGAGTACCATAACATTGAAGGAACAGTGTAAGCGCAGCTGTAATCTGACCGATGGTGATTTTGAAGAAATTGTCCTATCTAACAAGACAAATGAATTGGTAAAAGATGATTCAGAGATAAATACAAAAGGTAAACAAATATTTGTTTTAAAGAATATAATAATAAGATAGATACAGGTATGCTAAGATTTATTGTTGTTTCAAGAGAGCCATGATGCCTTGTTAGGATGATAAATCCAAGAATTTTTTTTTTTTTTAAAAAGCGAACCCTAGCTTTCCCAATTTATTGCCTTATTATAAGAATTTAGATTCAATACCCATATCAACGTAAAATGTGAAGGTACCGAACAGTGACTAATTTCATAAGTCCAGTAAAGAATACAAATAGTGAACAGGTGTTAATTTAAAAGAACTCCTTGAAAACACAAGAGATGGGATCAGGTACCTAGGAGGAGTAAACACCACCTATTGACCAGTCACACCCGCCCTATATATTGATCAAGTATACGGAGAAGGCAATGGCCTAACAATTGGTATGAGATATGTCAGTCAAAATACGACCCGCGACAGGCTCTATTTACAAACAAGGTCATTATAACGACCATAGAATTTGCGGAACGTTAAACGAGATTGTAGAAAACCTTGTAACATCAACTCATTTGTCAGTAGCTTGATTTAAAACTTGATCGTACTCAGGGCATGCCCTTGTATATCGAATCAGTAAGGACGCATAAACACCATATGCAGGTGATGTTTGATTATTAATTATAAAGGTGGTTCTAAAAATGTCATAGTCTGAATAACCATGGCCTCTTGTTTCATGAAAATTCTTCTTACCACTAAGAATACATCAAAATCAGGCGTCCGAATCAGAAAGTGATCGTTAGTAACCGGTTTTCTCTTTGATAATTGCCTTTTTGTCAATAGACACTCAGTAAGCCTCGTGCCTATTTGGAATTAAAAAAGATTCAGGAACTCGAGTTAGTGGAAAACAGGTAATTAAATCGCACATATTATGGAATATATATTTCACATTGCATTCAATTTCTTTGAAATTGACAAATTAATTTGGATTTGTTTCCGCCTGACTGCATTATAACTAGAGTAGAGTATTAATCCGCAAGGTTAGAGTACTATTCCTCATCGATTGTATTTTATAGGGATGAGAACATGATCTTAAAGAGAGTTCGTATCTTATGTAAATATTTAGCATTGAGATTTGTTTCTGTCTAGCAAAGTATATTTGATAACACTTACTTTCAGTGTGGATAATAACTGGCCCAGTTGTCGGATTTCTAGTCCTAATGTTTATTGTGAGTCTCCTTACCTTTTATCTTTGTCAACGGTTGAAAAAGAGAGTGGAACCTCAGATCAGTGAAAAAGAACGGAAGAAGAGAAGCAAATTAATTCAAAGGAACCTAAACTTTTAATACATGTTACAAAAAAATAAATTACCACTTGAAGTTTCGTGAACTATGACGTTTGAAAATACTATTTAAAAAAAATTGTGATGTGACGGTATATGCAATCATTTCTTTCACCTCCATATTTCCGAGTGTTTCCAGTTTAAAAAAAATAAAAGGGAGAGTATGGTAAATTATTTTAAACTGCAGTAAATTATTGTTTGAATTGAGAGTCTGTGATGAAATGATTTTATATTTTGAAAAAAGGATAGGTGAAAGGCAGATATAACAAAATTTATTATGAATGCAGACATCTTTCATTGAGAGTTGTTAGACATATATAATAATTATATTTTGTGCATACTTCATACAATGGAGTACAAAAAATGGAAACAAATATTTTATAAGAGATAATTGTGAAATATTTATTTATATTCAATAAACTACTTGTTGACAGTTAAATACAGTTGTTGCACATATAAATATACGATTCGATATTTTAACATCTTCACACTAAAAAGACAATGGTAAGAAAAATGCAGCAACAAAACGTTATTCGACAATATAAATTAAATAATTGTATGTATTTGTTGCAATTAAAGACCTTGTTAATAAGCAGAAAATAATTTACAACAAAATGTATTTTTAAAAATAACATGCCTAATTTTTTATATGTAGAGCTTTTTTTTTTATTTGTGGAATGTACAGTGCATTATTTGATCATATTAGAATAAAAATTATTGGGTTAGATACTTTGAAAACCTTTAATAAGAATAAATAAGCGTTAAATTGATAAAAGAGTAAGGAAATCCTGCCCTTGTAAACATTCAAAATGAGAGGCAATGACCAACACGTGTACATTTAGCACCTATAATAGAAGACAAAAGATTTAATTTCATGTTTAACCTATGAATGGGCTTTGTTGGTCAGTCAGGTTACATATAATAATAATAAATTGATAGTTTTCTTTTATCTATGCCGTAAGATTTATTTGTTAATTATTTAGTTGAAGACAAAAAAAAAAACACAGATGTTATTCATTAGTACACACATAGTACCATTCATAGGGATGTAAATATTTTCGGTAATATTGAAATTACAGTGATCTTTTGATGCTTTGAGGTCATGGGATCACGCTGATAAAATCGTGATGATCCTCTGCTTTAAGAACCTTGCATGTAAAAGTAATAATTAAAAATACCCAAACTAAAGGGAAACGTTATAAAACACACGATGAAAGTTATCTTTTTTGCTATCAAAAAATCGTCAGGGGATATAAAGGTAACTAATAAGACACCTGAATATAGCTTCGCTTCTAAAAAGTTTTCTAGTTGAACAAACAGAAATGCAGTATTACTATCTGAAGACTTTTCCATTCTACATTTGCATCATAGCACATTGCTTTTTAATGGTGCAGTCCGCTTGTCAAAGCGATCAGATTTGTCAATGGGCCTCTTGGCACGACTGGTCGACATGCAATGCAACTTGCGGGTCTGGCATGCAGTCAAGATGGCGCGGGCCTTGTTGTGACGGAGACAGCAACCTTAGTTTTATTGGATGTATAAAACACTGTAATCTGAGTATATCATACAGAGAGCACAAGCAATGTTCTGCTTGTCCATTTCCACCGACGACAATCAAAAGGACCACCGAGCAGTCAACAGCGAGAACCACTGAACAGTCGACAGAGAGAACCACCGAACAGTCAACAGAGAGAACCACCGAACAGTCAACGGAGAGAACCACCGGACAGTCAACAGAGAGAACCACCGAACAGTCAACACAGAGAACCACCGGACAGTCA